TTTATTATTATTATTATTATTATTATTATTATCATTATTATTATTATTATTATTATTATTATTTATTATTATTATCATTATTATCATTATTATTACCATTATTATTATTATTGTTATCATTAATTTATTAAAATTTGTTATAATATAAAAATCTGTTTTTTAAAATAAATAACATTAACATCTTTTCCAAATTAATATGAAAACCTATTATTTTTAAGAAAAACTTTTTTTTAGATAAATTTAAAATAATAACTAAAATCTTTTTTTTAAAATAATAACTAGAACCGTTATTTATTTTATTTTATTATTGTTCAATTCAAATTTCATTATCATATTGTATCTGCTCCTCTCATGTAACCTCGCGAACTTAACAATCGCTCTTTAAATTCTGCCTTTAAATTTCTGCTTGCATGGTTTAAATTATGACATTATCTCTCTGTTTGCATGATTCAATTATCTCACGCGTTTACTATTATTTCTGTCACATTGCACACATCCGAAGGTTAGGTCTAACTGTTTGGCCGCCGCGCCAATAGTCCGTAAAACTTCACACATTCAATTTCAAATCCTCAAAACTACAAACTACAAACCCTAATTTTCACAAATGCCTCGCCGCAGGCAAAATTACAATTTTACCCTTAGCATTAGGTCAAAGAGCCGCCGCGCTCATTTTAGGGTTTCCCGCCGTGGAATCCCTAATTTAACCCTAATTACAACTTAACATTTCAACGTAGAGATTTGGAGTTTCTACACTCCACGTAAGCGTGTCCTTAAGATGCGTTTATTCCCCTTGAGACCTTGACCACAGTCAAGAAGTTTCTAACCTCCCTATTGAGGGGAACTACGATTACTCTGATTCCACTCCCGTAAGGATACGTAGGCACAAGATGCGATGTCTTGCCGAGTAAACTTAGAATTAACCCCCTTTATTATTTATTATTGCTTATTAATTTTTTATTTAATTATTTTGCTTATTATTTTGTAATTGTTTCTTGGATGTAAAGTTGTTTAATTATTTAATTATTATTATGGTTAGTAATTAGGGAGTGTAACAACATGTATGTAATATTAAAATAAATTTAGATCACTTTTAAATAAAGATAATTAAAATAAACACGTCACACACGTAAGTCGATGTTAATCGCCGTCTCACTTCCTAAGGATATCCCTCAAGTTGCCTACGAATAATGGTTAAGTGGGGTGTATAAAGCAAGTCCCTCAAATAGAAAAATCATCAAAGTCCCTTATGGTTGCCTTTACGAATCAAGTTCCTTTCGAAAAATGATGATAGTCCCTCCAGTTTGCTTATTACACCCCACAATGGCCTTCAAAAATCCAATTGTCCCTCACATGTCCCTTAACATCCAAAGTAAGGACTACCTACTCCATTATAGTAGGGATAGTCTTACTAAGGAAAGGATAAAGAATAAGAAAGACCTTTAAACATTAGGGTAGGCTATTCCTAGATACTTGCTCACTTCAAAACTTTTTCACACTTAAACCAATTTCCAACAAAATTTTCAAACAAGTTTTTTTCACATCCATACACGGATTATTATTAAACTATTCTGAAATTTTTTGCTATTCACACACTACACTTTCAAAACAATTCAAAAGTGAGCTTAAGTACCTAAGAGCCCATGGATAACCATGGATGAAAAGGGTGCTAACACCTTCCCTTTTCATAACCTACCCCCCGGACCCAAAATATTCTCTAAGGTCTTTCCTGTTCTTTTATAACCTTTCCTTATGGATAAAATAAAAGTCGGTGGCGACTCTTGCTATCCGCAACATTGTTTAAAGTCAGTTCTCCCACCGTGTTACAAGGGTCTGGGCGACCTTCTCAATTTCTTGGTATCTGAGTTCTAGCCCTTGTAGGGCTTTTCTTGTGAAGTATATTGGCTTTTATCCGTCGAGAGTTTCTCGAATGAGGGCAACTCTGATGGCTTCATTAGTGACATAGAGATAAAGGTAAATTCTTTCCTCGCTGTCTGGCCGTGACAAAACAGGTGGTTCGGACAAGGCTTGCTTGAGATGACGCAGAGCCTGCTCGCATTCCTCCATCCATTCGAATGTTGCCTCTTTCTGGAAGAGTTTGAAGAAGGGGATGGCATGTTGGGTGAATTTGACCACGAAGCGAGATAACGAGGTGAGCATCCCGTTAAGGGATTGTATGGATTCCGTTGACTTAGGTGTGGAGAATTCAAAAAACGCTCGACATTTTTCAGGGTTGGCCTCGATCCCCCTCTCAGTGAGTTAGAATTCGAGGAAATTTCCCGCCCGTACGCCAAAGGTGCATTTTTCTGGGTTGAATCGCATTTTACACTCCCTGGCTTGGTCGAAGACCTTTTGCAGATGGAGTGTATGATCGGATTCCTCTTGGGATTTCACGATCATGTCGTCCATGTATACTTCAAGCATGTCTCCGATTTGTGATTGGAAGACTTTATTCATAATTCGCTGGTACGTGGCCCCTGCATTTTTTAGACCGAAGGGCATTACGTTGTAGTAATAATTGCCCGAAGAGGTCATGAAAGCGGTGCACTTCTTGTCCTTTTCTGCCATGGGGATCTGGTTATATCCCGAGTAGGATTCCATGAAGGATAGAAGTTTGAAACTGGTAGTGTTATCCACTAGCTTATCGATGCCGGGAAGGGGGCATGCATCTTTCGGGCAAGCCCAATTGAGATTGGTGTAATCAACATACATTCTCCATTTTCCATTATATTTTTTGACTAATACAATGTTGGACAACCAGGTTGTATACCTGGCTTCCGAGATAAATTTGGCCTCTAAGAGGTCTTTTACAAGTTTATTCGCCACTTCAGTCTTCTCGTCGGATTGCTTGCGCCTGCGTTATGCTATCGCCCGAGCAGATGGGTCGATGGTGAGCTGTTGGCAAGCTATTTCTGGGCCGAGGTCGGTCATGTCCGCGGAGCTCCAAGCAAACAAGTCAGCGTTGTTCCTCAAGCAAGTCTTTAGCTGTTATTTCACTTCATATGGCAGTCCCGCGCCAATCCTAACTCCTCGGTTGGGGTCGTCCCCGAACGTGATCACCTCGAATTCTCCATCTAGGGTTGGGCGCATAATAGCCGAGGAGGATGAGCTACCCGTTGAGATTGGAATATCTTCTTCTCCTTCTTCTGGGATCTGGCTGTCAAGGCCGATGGTATGAACCTAGAGCACCGGCCTTTTTGGGTTGGCTTCCTTCGTTGAGAAGATCTTCGTCACTTGCCCGTTTGACGCTCTGTGGTGCTGCACTGATTAAAATTTGTCCTTTGGTGGCCATTTTGAAGCATTGTCTTGTGACCCCGATGTCCCCGTGCATAGTGGCGACATGCCCCTTTTCAGTATAATACTTCATCTTAAGATGAATTGTGGAAGGAATAATAATTATTTCGGCAAGTGTCGGTCTCCCCATGATGCATTGGTATAACGAGGAGCAGTCTACGACTAAGAACTGAGTCTTAACCGTTTTGGCAGTATCCTCTTCTCCAAATGTAACTTGGAGCTCTACGTATCCCCAGGGTCTAGCTGTGGCCCCGTTGAATCCTTGTAGGTCTGACCCCACATATGGGGACAGGTTCTTCTGGTCGAGTTTGAGGGCGCGGAATAGGCTGGTGGACATGATGTCCACCGAACTACCTTGATCGACAAGGATTTGGCGGGCGTTAGTGTAGGTTAACCTGACTCTGATAAGAAGAGGGATGTGAGAGTTGGGGGATCCTCCGAGGAGCTCTTCTCGGTAGGAAGTGATTAGCTGGGGTCGTCCTTAGAATTTTTCGAGTGTTGACAGACGATCTGGACTACAGTCGACCAATTGTTCGAATTTTCTCTTTATTGATCCTACTATGAGTTTGTTGTATTCACCGTAGGAAATAACTATTATGTCGGGGAAGGCCTCTAAGGGGTTGTGCGTTGAAAAATATGCAGGCCCTTCGAACCCGCTGGGGATGAAAAAGTCCTTTGGTCATGAGATAGACATGGCAACCAATGGGGGAGGGCTAGAAGACGAGGCTTTCGTATCTTTCTTAGATTCCAACGTTTCTCCTCGAGGGATACTCCATTCTTCGTATACTTCTTTAGGTTTCCCTCTTTGATGAGAATTTCAATAGCGTCTTTCAAGTGGACGCAATCTTTTGTTACGTGGTTGTGGCTGCGGCGTAAGCGATAGTATTTGCTTTGGTCGGTATTTCTCTTCGAAGTTGTTGGCTTGGGGACTCGGACGCCACCCTGCTTGAATTCGGCATTGATAGATTAAGATAGAATACACTTACGGGGATCAGTCAACAGGGTGCATTCGGTGAATCGACATGCAGGACGTTTGTGATCTCGGGGATGATCTTCTCGTCGCCTGTCTTTGTCTCACCTGGACATTTGTGCTTCATCTTTCTTCGACGCTCTGGAAATCTCTTGGTCCCTCGAGTCTCTGGCCTTACACACGACTTCCTTTTCTTCGTACTGAATATAGGATTGTTCCCGACGGAGAAGTTCGGCTAGACACCAAGGAGGGTTGAGTCTTACAACCTTATGGAAGTCGCTTTTCGACCTCAATCCCTTCTCTAGCAGATACTTTTTCATGTGGTCGGTTGTGAGGATTTCGATCGCTTCCTTTGTGAACCTGTCGACTTAATTGCGTAGAGGTTCGTCCCTGCCCTGGATGATACCTTCAAGCATAGCTTCGGATTTCGGGTGGCGCCTAGAGGTAGTAAAGTGTCGGGAAAAATGCTTCTTAAGACTCCTCCATGACGTGATCGAGTCCTGAGGAAGGCTCTTGTACCAAGTCATAGCCTCTTTCCTGAGGGTGGTGGGGAATAACTTGCATTTGATTGCTCTAGGGACATTATGGTAATGCATCACGGCCTCAATGTTTTCTATGTGGTCACTCGGGTCGGTGGTACCATCATAGAGAGCTAGAGGGGGAGGTTTCTCCAGTCCGCACGTAATGCGAGTATCCATGATTTCTCGTGATAGGGGACCGCTTGCGTTGTCTTCGTCGCTCATTTTGGGCGACCTGCTGAACAAATAACTGCATCCTCGGTTCCTGCTGTATCGATGAGAGTGTTCATGTTGGCTTTGGTGCTATTCTCGAGGCTTTCCGGAAGGCCTGGTCTTTTTGGATATAGGGGAGAGCCTGGATCCTTAAGGAGGGGTACGATCGCGCTTTCGAATGGTCTCATGTCCATGCTTCTCCCAAGAAGCAAATTCACAAGGGCTTTATTTGAAAAAAGAATAGAGGTCTCAGAATCACCCAAGGCTTTCTGATTGATAGCCCTTGTGTAGCAATCAATAGCATCAGAGTAATGCTTCTTCCCCATCTTCACATATTGGTTACCCTTTTCCTGAAAAAGATAATTGAGAGTGAAATTAAAAGCAAGAGAGGCAAAAGAAAAGAATGTTTATTTAGTGCTATTTGGAAAACATAGATTATACCTTGAGTTCAAAGGCTGAAGACTCTTTGATTGCAGCAATGGCTTCAAGGTCTGCTTTCTCGGTTTCGGTCAAGGGCTCCGAACCCTTTTCCATCCATAGCGCCATCGTTACCTCTTTTTTATTCTTTTGTTGCTCTTAGATAAACAGCTTTAACGGAGTTTGTTTTTGAAGTAGTAGATTTTACGCAGTTTAAGTAGCGTAGTTGAGTTGGAATGGGAAAAAAACAGTAGTACGATGAAGTATATATAGTACATACGTTTGTTTTGTTTTGGGTTTTTTGTTTTTTTTTGTTTTAATTTTTAAATTTATAATATTAGTAATTACAAAAAAAATATAATATTTGACTTCAGGTTATATTAATTTTAGGATTTTGATTTTCATAGTTTTAAATATGTAAGTTTTGTTTTTTATTTTATAAATTTCTAAATTAATCTTTATATTTTTTCTTAGTTACTAATGTGACATAATTAAATATGATGGGAGATTTATTAATTTGATAAATTAGTGTCATACTATATTACATTTAATATAAACAATAATTTGACAAAAATAAATAAAATTAAAATTGTTTAAGAAATTGGAAAATATATTTAAAAAATCATAAAATTCCTAGTAAAAAACTAAGAGATGCAATAAAATTTATAAAAATGCGGAAAAATAATAAAGTTATTTTAAAAAAATAATATACAAATAAAAAATTAAGTAAAAACTAGAATAATAAGTAACTTAATAAACTATACAAATTATTAATTTGAAAAATAAGTTAAATACGGATAATGATTTACCTAAGGGTTTGTTTGCTTCAATAGATGAGAGGGGGGAGAGATTTTTATCAAATAAAAAATGAGGGAAAGAATTTGATTTACATATATATTTTGTTCAAAATATGAAAGGGGAGGTGAGAAATTTTAATTACAAACATATTTGGTTCACAAGGGGATAGATGTATTTTAAAACTAATTTTTTTTTATCTTTGTAATTTTATCCAAAGAATCATGATATTTATCATTCATAATTAAACACAAAATATAATGATATTTATCTATCATAGTTTAAACACAAATTCATTAACGAGATATAAATATTCAATCAGAGAATATCATAAAATATTTTGTAAAAATATATTGATAATAATATACAATTGTCCTGTGCTCCGCGCTAAGTAAAAATGATTTTGATTTGAAAATTTTTTTAAGCAATTATGGTTGTAGCATATGAGATTAACTTAAACGATGAGCAAAGTGGTAACCACAAAAATCTCCAACATCATAAAAGAAGAAGAGAAATTTGATAGAGAACCTAAACTTTTATTATTTTCTTAGGGATAATTATCATTTTTATAAAAAAAATAAAGGTTAATTTTGTCAATATAATAAAATATATTTTAGCATCTCTTCCCTTTCATCCTCTCCTCTCCAAAAAATCTCGATTCGGGTGAACAAGTAATGACTCTAGGAGGGATTCTGATCATCTTCTCTTCTCTCTTCTCCCCTCCTAAAATATTGAACCAAACACTTTTTATTTAAACTATCTCTCCCCCCCCCCCCTTATCTCTCTCTCTCAAAACACCCTCAACCAACCAAATGAACCTAAAGGATAGTATATAATAACTATTGATAAAGTGATACCTAAAGAGATATATATTCTCTTACTATTCAATATTCCAGAATAAATTAGACCACATGTATTGAAACGAAAGATGCATTATTCATCGCTTAACCTAATTTCTCCAAATCTCCTCCAGCAACCACGTCGCTTTCTGTCATTCCATGGAAATTCCTAGATATCACCACAACAAGCATCTCTAAGCAGCAATCCATCTCTAAAGAAGTGTCGATACAACCTATTATGGTTTATGAAATTTTTTCTGGTTTATGAAATTTCACATAGTTTCAAACCACTTGAAAAATGAAGAACCCTTTGAAAATGATCTTTGATTCTTATAAATCTGATTTTAAAAGTTGGTAACTCTTTTTCTAGTGTATGATGTTTTATATACACTTCTAAAAACCTATATGAATGAATTTATAGGCTTGAAATGGTTCCATGAAGCTTTGCCATTCAAAACAGTAATTCTGGTTCATGAAAAAACATATTGGTTTAGGTTGTACTCGAATGTAATACACCTATATTCGAGTACAACAATTGTGATGTTTAAATTTTTTGAAAATTAGCCACCTTATTCGAATCCAGTAATGTTGTACTCAAATACAACTTTGCTTTTAGCACTAAAAACAACTTTTTAAGCAGGGATTTCCATGAATTTTTATGCACAATAATTTTAAAAGTTTCTAGGCGAAGTTTAAAGAATATTTATAAGTTCTTAATTAATATATAAGATGAATGATAATACATCAAAGATAAATATAACCTTAACTATGTTTAATGTTGATCTTTGCCACTTTATCATGATTGATTGTTGTCTTCATCTTTATCCTTCATTGTCTTCATCATTTTGTTCTTTATTGATCATTGTTGACTTTATCTTTTTCTTCTTTTGTTGATGTGTTTTTCTTCATTAAGACCCTCGTCAAGATCAAGGAGAGGCCCTTCTACATACGATGACCAGAGGAGTCAGGTTGTTAAAATCCCGATTTAAAACCTAAACTCTATAGATTTCATGTTTCTAGGTCAACATTTCGTGTTAAATCGTGGATAAAAATGTTTTTATGTAAAATCGTATCCTAAAACAATTTTAAATGACTTAAATCACTCTGAAAACAGTGAAATTGTGTAAAATCGTTAGATTTTACTCTTTGACCCGATTTTACATTTTTTTGTCAAATTTTAAAAAGTCCATTTCATATTTTAGCCCATAAATTTGAATTACCTTTATCATCTGGAGATGAATTTAATCAAGTTGTAGATAAGGACACTAATGAAGATGATGTTGTTGAAGGATTAAACTTTCGATTAAGTTGAAGATAAAGATGAAAGCACTTGTTTTTTTTATCACACTTATATATATATATATATATATATATATATATATATATATATATATATATATATATATATATATATATATATATATATATATATATATATATATATATATATATATATATATATATATATATATATATATATATATATATATATATATATATATATATATATATATATATATATATATATATATATATATATATATATATATATATATATATATATATATATATATATATATATATATATATATATATATATATATATATATATATATATATATATATATATATATATATATATATATATATATATATATATATATATATATATATATATATATATATATATATATATATATATATATATATATATATATATATATATATATATAATCTGGAATGATCAGAATCGATCGTCTTAGTCTTCAATTTAGAGCAGCAACAGTGGTTGTAAGAGAGGAAGGGGTGTACCTGCAAGATACTCCGATGCCAAAGTAAGTGTTTGGACAAACGAGAAAAAGCAAGTATGAGTGTTTAAGTATGAGCAAGAATGATTATAATACCTACCCCTCTCAAGAGAGAGGGTATTTATAAGTTTTTCCCCTAACACCGAAATATCTGGTCGGCCAATGGGAGACTTCCAGGTGGGAGATCTAGCGCATGATCTTTGACCTGGTCCAACTGTCTCCGTAACTTTTAGAGGGGCAGTTGGTCGCGTGAACTATCAAGCGCGTGAGGGGCACTGTAACACGGTGGGAGAACTGACTTTAAACAATGTTGCGGATAGCAAGAGTCGCCACCGACTTTTATTTTATCCATAAGGAAAGGTTATAAAAGAACAGGAAAGACCTTAGAGAATATTTTGGGTCCGGGGGGTAGGTTATGAAAAGGGAAGGTGTTAGCACCCTTTTCATCCATGGTTATCCATGGGCTCTTAGGTACTTAAGCTCACTTTTGAATTGTTTTGAAAGTGTAGTGTGTGAATAGAAATTTTTTAGAATAGTTAAATAATAATCCGTGTATGGATGTGAAAAAACTTGTTTGAAAATTTTGTTGGAAATTCGTTTAAGTGTGAAAAAGTTTTGAAGTGAGCAAGTATCTAGGAGTAGCCTACCCTAATGTTTTAAGGTCTTTCTTATTCTTTATCCTTTCCTTAGTAAGACTATCCCTACTATAATGGAGTAGGTAGTCCTTACTTTGGATGTTAAGGGACATGTGAGGGACAATTGGATTTTTGAAGGTCATTGCGGGGTGTAATAAGCACATATAAGGGACCATCATCATTTTTCGAAAGGGACTCGATTCGTAAAGGCAACCATAAGGGACTTTGATGATTTTTCCATTTGAGGGACTTGCTTTATACACCCCACTTAACCATTATTCGTAGGCAACTTGAGGGATATCCTTAGGAAGTGAAACGGCGATTAAAATCGACTTACGTGTGTGAAATGTTTAATTTAATTATCTTATATTAAAATGATCTAATTTATTTTTTTTAAATATCATACATATTAGCACTCCCTAATTACTAACTATAATGATAATAATAATTAAATAATTACAATTTACATCCAAGAAACAATTACAAAATAATAAGCAAAATAATTAAATAGCAAAGATAAATAAAATATAAATAAGCAATAATAATAAAGGGGATTAATTCTAAGTTTACTCGGCAAGACATCGCATCTTGTGCCTACGTATCCTTACGGGAGTGGAATCAGAGTAATCGTAGTTCCCCTCAATAGGGAGGTTAGAAACTTCTTGACTGTGGTCAAGGTCTCAAGGGGAATAAACGCATCTTAAGGACACGCTTACGTGGAGTGTAGAAACTCCAAATCTCTACGTTGAAATGTTAAGTTGTAATTAGGGTTAAATTAGGGATTCCACGGCGGGAAACCCTAAAATGAGCACGGCGGCTCTTTGACCTAATGCTAAGGGTAAAATTGTAATTTTGCCTGCGGCGAGGCATTTGTGAAAATTAGGGTTTGTAGGGTGAAAGGGTTTGAAGTTGAGGACTATTGGCGCGACGACCAAAAGCTAGACCTAACCTTCGGATGAGTGTAATGTGACAGAATAATAGTGATGAAAGTGTGATAGAATTTAAATCATGCATCAGCGGAAATAAAATGCGGAAAGTAAATACGATTATTG